CTGTGATCCTCCTGTATTTGGCATCATTGCATGTGTTCCATGTGTCTGAAGAGGACTTTACAGATTGGTATCGGACATGGTATCAGTATGGGCTAATATTGGACTTATGGGCTTGGACTGGACTGGGTTGGGGTACTTTCTGAGTGTACAATTACCCTTGATATAAAACTCTCTCTTATACACATATGAATTTCTATGGATTTGTTTCTCTAGTCCACCCAGACTAACACACCTGATCAACAACTGTGTCTAATCAAAACAGGCTTGCTCCTTTCCTTTCAACAGGACGGTAGCATGGATCTGGGTCCCCGTAAACTTTCTGAGCCAGCCTATTGCCGCCTTGAATTCTTACCTATCTAGGAATTCTCCATTCTCCCCTCTCTTCTAATAGATAGTTCTTGATCCACAAATGATCACCTTTAAGCCCCACTTCCTCCTAGAAGTGCCCCCTGACCATTCTGAGCACCTTGACCAAACCAGAAACCAAAGCCGATGGCCATTGAGTCCATGCTGACTTATGACAACCCCCGGGGTGGCAGAGTGGACTCCACTGGTTCTCAATGGCTGCGATCTTTCAGAAGTAGATGGCTGGCACTTTTTTCCAAAGGTGCCTCCGGGTGGGATTGAACCACCAATCTTTGAGCCAGTAATGTATACTTAACCATTTGTGCCACTCAAAGACTCCGAGTGGGCTGCCTGCCATCTTGTGCAATCCTATCTGGTTCATTTCCTTCGTTGCACTTAGCCCACGTGGTCATTGTGAGTACTCTCTTGCCTTCAGCTGTTCCTGTGCCAGCCGAACAGAACCCGAGTTCCTGACTTCAGGGACCCTGCTGTGTCAGTCTATCACCGTGCCTAGAATAACCCATGAAAGACAGTGGTGATGTAATCCATCTTTAATGGAGAAATGGATGGAAATAAAGACTGGTTTAGGAGATGAACCAATGAAAACTAAGCAGGTAATCTGGCAGATAAACAAACAAACAAAACAGTATGTCAGAAAGTAAAACTTGAAAATACTGGACAACACTGTTAGAAACAATGGAGAAATCCACGAGGCCCAATGCTATCCCATAGGAGTTTCAGCAGGATCATTAGAGGAGAAAATTCTAGGGGAATTCCCTAAGCATGGAAAGGCATGCGTAGTTTTAAGCGGTACACAAGTGATGAGGGGGATAAATGACCAAAAGCCCCCTCACTTAGAAATAGTCAGAAAAAAGGTTAGAGCCCAAAGTCGAAGAAAAGACCCCAGAGGCTCTGAGAGGGGGGCAGAGTAGCTCAGAGAGCATCCTTAAGAAGGAATGAGAGAATCAGACTGTCTTCCGACTTCCCCTTAGCAAGGAGTGAAAGGAATGATCAATGTTTGAGGGGAAACGACTGTGGGTGAACGTGGGGGGTTAGGACTTCTCCTTCTGACTATGGCGGGTCAAAGGGAACGATGCTTACTCCTCTGCTGGGCACAAGTGGGAAGCGGCCAGTTCTATGAATGGGCTGTGCACACCCAGGGGGGACGGCCGGTGGGTCTGTGGTCCCCGGAAGCAGGGAAACAAGCACAGCGAATCCTGCCGTCCGTCAGTCCTCTCAGCTTTCGGCCGGGGGCCTTGGTGTGACCACAGAGCAGGGCATCCACGCGAGTGCAGCAGACCAGTCAGGGCGACGTGGGTCCAGGAAGTCTAAAGCCGCTGGAAAGTATGGGTCAAGCTTCTGGAAAGGAGGGACCGCCACAGCTCTCCAGGCATCTGATTGAGAAGCACTTATGGAAACCAGAAATGTGCTTCGGCGAGTAGGCCAAGGTATTCAACTGTATGCACGGTAACATAGATAACATTGCAAACAGTGGGAATTCTAGAACACTTAATTATGCTCGTGTGAACCTGTGTGCGGACCAGGAGGCCACAGTTCACATAGAAAAGGGGGCGATGGTGTGTGGTTTAAAATCAGGAAAGGTGTGTGTTGGGGTCGTATCCTTTCACCGTACTTGATCCATCTGTGTGCTGGGCAAATCATCAGAAACGCTGGGCCAGATGCAGAAGAACTCGGCATCAGGATTGGAGGAAGGCTCCTGAGTCACTGGCGATTCGCAGGAGATACAACTGTGCTTGCTGAAATGGACAGGGACATGGAGCACTTGCTGGTGGATGCCCTGTGATGACGGCCTGCAGTGTGGATTGCAACGTGATGCAAAGAAAACCCACCTCTCACCACTGGACCAAGAGACAGTATCATGTGAATGGAGAAAAAGGCTTTCGGTGTCAAGGATCTCATTTTGTTTAGCCCCACTCTCAATGCTCATGGGAGCAGCAGCCGGGGAATCAGATGTTGACTTGCTTGGGGCGAATCTGCTGCACAAGGTCTCTAAGTGTGAGGACTCGAGCACACCTGGCCTGAGCCTTGGCACCTTCCGTTTCCTCAGACCCATGTGAAACTAGACAAGAAGAACGAGGCGGCGGCTTTTGAACGATGGTGCTTGTGAAGAACATGGACGTTATCAGAGACTTCCAGAAGAAGGAGCCATTTTGTCATGGAGGAAGTACAGCCCACATGCTCCACCTGGTGAGCGCTAGCCTCGTAGTCTTTGGGCGTGTTACCAGGAGGGACCAGTCTACTTTTATGCTTGGGAAAGTAGAGGGTCAGCCAAAAAAGTAGAAGACCCTCCGTGAGATGGCGAGGCACCGTGGTGACAACACTGGGTTCAGACAGGAAGACAGGTGTGAGGATGGCGCTGCACCAGGCAGGGTTTCTTTCTGTCGCACCCAGTCTCCGTGGGTAGGGGCCTGCTCTGTGGCCTCTCACGACAGCAACGAGAGCAGGCAGGTGTGAAAGGGCCAGGCCATACAGCTTCCCTGCACCTGTGCACTCGACTCAGAGCTCAGAGCCAGCCGCAGCAGACAGTCCCGGCCACCACCCAGGGCATTGAGGACGGACTCCAGGCGGCCATTGTTGCAGTAGGGATAAGCTGCCACCAGAGGCCTGGCTTCGGGTGGCCTCCCTTCCCTGAGTTTCCAACAAGAATGGAAACAGTCGCTCAGAACCAAAAGAGCAGCAACTGCTTGTGAGAACAGCGGCCAAGAGTTAGTTTTGTTCTTTAGAGGTTAACAACAAAGCCTAGACACTCAACCCCACAAAATTCACAGTGTCTGGCATCCTCTCAATACTTGCCTCGGCGCTGAGGAGCATGACGCATGATCCATCACCTAGAAGGGCAACAGAGCTAGAGGTGATGGTCAAGGCTATGGCAATAGCTGTTGTGATCAATTTAAAGGAAAACCTAGGCTTCTGTAGTCAGGAGTCAATGAAACTGAGGATTCTGGTACTCATAAAGACGTGCATGACATCAACGCTAACTGCGCTGGCTATAACAGCAATCTCCTGGGTTAAAATCTTTGCCCTGCGCCTTGTTAGTTGTGAGTTAACTTACCTGGTTTTAGCCTCCTCCATCTGCCCATCTGTAAAATGTAAGTAAGCAGAGTACCTACTTTACAAAACCAGTGGAGAATCAAATGAGTGCATCGTGTAAAGCGCATGCAATAGTGCCTGGCTCTTGGGAACGGAATGCAGTCAGTAAACGCTGGTCACCGTTACAATGACTGGCAGTGGTTGACAGCAGCCTTCTAAGAGAGTGTTGTCAATCATTTAAGCAAGGCATAGGAAATGTGTGCTTCGTCGGGTTTTTGTTTCTGTATTTTCCATGCTGGAGATAACATACTCATTTATCAGCAGGAGAGGAACTTTCTCCTTTCCTTCCCAAATGTGTTCTCCTGGTTAGTCAAGTGTCTTCCATTCCCCAAGGCAACCGCAGACATGGAGTGTCCCGGGAGGTGATGACCAAGATGGCACCAGAGTTCCTGACTCTTTATTCTTTACCTTGTTCAGAGACCATGGCCTTGTTGAGAGCGGGCCTCCAAAAAGATTGTAGACAAGGTCTACCTCCAGGTACTTGCATCTCCTTACCGTGTCCTGATTGCTGTCCCCCTTCACCTCTCTCTTCAGCATCTTCGAGTGCCAAGGCCTTCCCATTGTCAATGGGCAGTGTGATCCTTACGCCACTGTGACGTTAGCAGGACCATACAGGTAAGTGGTCCCTGCATGACACCTGTCCCCTCTGGCTTTTGTTTTTGCGCCTAGTAGAGATGGGGCCTCATCACGGAGTACAGTGCTGGAGGAAGGCGGTTAACACCACATTCAGAAGAATGCAGGACGCACTTTGGGGTAGAATGTATAATTCTGGGCTTCCCTTGGTTTCCTTCATGACTCTTGTTTTGCTTTGTAAAAAAAACCCCAAAACACCGTGATCCTTAATGTTCTTCATGTTGAGTATTTTTGGCGCAGTGAAGGGTCCTGATTTGCATACCATCTGGAATTGGAGACCCACAGAAATATTTATCAAATAAATAAAGGCAGTTACGTTGCTTGTGCATTTAATAGCTCAGCTGTAAGACCAAGAGATCTGGGATCCAGGGTGCTATTTTTAATCTTAATCCTTCTTCACTGAATGACAGATCGGAAGCCAAGAAGACAAAAGTGAAGAAGAAGACCAACAACCCCCAGTTTGATGAAGTGTTTTATTTTGAGGTTGGTATTTTAAGGGGATGCACGTAAGTGGAAATCCTACACTGAGATGCTCTGGCAGAAAAGTCAGAGCTGAACTATCTCCATTACTTACTTCCTATCTAGAGTTACTTTCAAATACCTGAACAGGGGAAATGACCAGGACCTTGGTGCCAGATTATTTTTTTGTTTTTTAATTTGTTTGTATTAAGCTGCTCCACCCAACCTCCCCTGCCCAGGTGTGGAAAGATGATGTCACTGGTTTTTTATGCCAAAGGGGAAATCCATTGGCACAGAGATGCCCCCGCCTGCCTCTCAGGATGTGAAACATGGACTTTAATAAGCTGAGAGGTGTGAGAACAGAGGCCTTTATAGAACAGAACAACAACTCCAGACAGCGGGTTTCAATTTAGGGAGTTCCTGGGTGGTACAGACAGTCATACTGATGGCTGCTAACTGAGATGTGGGCAATTCACCCAGAAGCACCTCTGAAGAAAGGCCTGATGCACTGCTTCCAGAGTGCAGCCAGGAAAGACGCAGGGGAACAAAGTCCCACTCAGACTCACCTGGGGTCCTGGAAGTCAGAACTACAACTCCACCGTCACTGGAATTTTGAGAAGGCACCTGGGTAATACTCATATAGGTAGTCAGCAATGAAATTTCTTGACTGTTTCAAATATCCTGGAGAGACAAAGAGGACTAAGACCTCAGACTCTGGTAGTGTTTTGGGTTAGGTGCTGGGCTGCTAACCCCAACATCAGCAGTTCAAACCCACCAGCCACTCTGAGGAAGAAAAATGAGGTTGTCTGCCCCCAGAAAGATGCACTGACTCAGAAACCCTATATGGCTGTGGGTCAGAATCAACTCGCTGGCAACGCCTTTGCTTTGGGTCAGGACCTATTGGCAAGGTGTTTCCTCCCTAGTAGAAGAGAATGAATGATCAGCAAGGACGTCATTGCATGTGGTGCAGTAAAGACTAAAACAAACACATAAGGAGACTTCTCAGAGGTGGGGACTCCTGAGCACTGTGTAGGACAAACTCAAACTCACTGCCATTGAGTGGGTTCTGGCTCCTAGTGACCCGGTAGGACAAAGGAAAGCTGCTCTGTGGCTTTCCAAGACTGTCATTCTTTACCAAAATGGGAAGCCTCATCTCTCTCCCAATTTTGTAGGAAACCGACCCAAACACTGCCATTGAGTAAATCCTGACTCATCGTGACCCTATAAGTCAGAATAGAACTGCCTCCGTCTATTTCCAAGGCTGTCATTTTTTTATGAAAGTAGAGAGGCTCATCTTTCTCCAGCAGAACAGCTGGTGGCTTTGAACTGCTCATCTTGCAGTTAACAGCCCAAGACACAACCCATTACACCACCAGAGTTCAGAAGAAAATTCAAAGAAAGGAAACCATCAACATGTCTCGGGTATTGGGAAGCTGGCAGGAAACGCTGGGCATGTAGAATTCAAAGTAGGGTTGGGGGCCAAAATGGTAGAAGCTTTGTAAAATGAAGTGATGAGTGAGAGCCAAGAGTTCCATGTGCAAAGAACTCAGGCATGTTCCTGATAGGTGTCCAGAAACCCACATGTTTCTTACGTGGAAGGGGGCCGTGACAAGCCTTGTTGGGGCAAAGGGATGGGGGGGATTTAGAACAGGACCCAGAAGGCCTGGCACTGGGAACGGTCATCCGTCACAGGTAGAAGCCATGCCTGGTGGACCACAGAGAGTTTAGTGTTCCGATCACCAAGGGAAGGAGGGAAAAAGATTTTTATTTTCTTAAGAGAGCCAAACTGAGGCAGAGCGAAGCCAGTGGCGGTTCACTTTCACCTCAAGGGGGTTTCAAACGGGGAAGAATTCTTGATCAGAGCCATGTAGAAACCAGTTGCCAATGTGAGCTGGAAATGAAAGCAGGCGGTCGCCCTCCTTGTCTAGGTTGTTAGGAAATTTTCACATCAGTTGTTTCCAAACTTCTGTTGGTAGCAGAAGTTTTGGCAAATAGATAGATAGATTTCTATCCAAGCCTGACCTGAACAATGCATGGACACTGTTCTTTTCCAGTGGACACCCATCGCCTCCTGAGAAGGCTTCAAAAGGTGCACAGAAAAAAGTGGGATTGAAATATAATGGATCTTCGCGCACGCGCACACGCACCACACACAAACTGTTGGAAGCTCCTTCATCTTTCTTTTTCAATGCTGTGTCAACCCACGAAATTAATTTGACAACCAACAGATGTGTTGGGAAAACAGTGGTCTGGAAGAGCCAAGCTGTCCAACCCTGGGAAGAAGGCCGTAAACCTCAGCTGATGATCATGGAGGCCGAGGGCCCAGCAGAGATCGGCATCACTGGCCACCGCCTCCTGTGGACCAGGGGCGTGTGGAGTCAGGGCTCAATAGACCTTGCTATTTGGAGCCCTTGTCTTCTGGCTGAAATGGTTCAAGCCCCTGCTTAGATCAATATATCGATTCTTATCAGGCTCTCCTTATCTCATCCACTTTCATGGCTTATGTCAGGCTCCAGGCCTCTGAGTCCTCTGAGAGGCCAAGCCCCAGGCTGCCCTTCCCCACACCCCGCCAGGAAAGGAGAGTGTGGAAGAGAACCATTGCCCAGTCTGGTGGCAGGTGGCCTCGGACAAGAACCAAGCCAGGAGTTTCCATAGGAAGGCGCCTCCAGGCGCCATTCTCTTCCAGAACAAGACTGCCCATGTCAGCAGAGAACTGCTTCCAAGGGTCTTGCAGCTGACTCCTGAGAAGGAGATGGCAGACCTTGCCTCTGAGACACCTGTGAATGAACTCAAACCGCCCGCCTTTCAGTCGGCCTCCGAGTGCACCCCCCACGGGCACCCCCCAGGGAAACCCAACCCCCAAAGCCAAGCTGGCCACGTTCACCCCATGCGTTAGCCCCAGAGTGGAGCTGAATGCCTTAGGGTTGTCTTGGTGGTCACTTTAATGGAAGCAGATGTCCGGGCCTTTGTTTGGGGTGGCGGTGCTGCTAGGTGGGTGCTAAGGACCAATGTTTAGGCAAATACCCGGAGGCAAATGGTTCGCGCCACCTAAAAACCCGACAGTCCCCGGATGTTGCTCTGAGGGCAGGTTAAAAGCGGCAGCTTCAGAGAGCTCCGGTCGGGGCACTTGGTCGACCTGAACTGTGGCGATTTCACGGTGGGGGTGCGTGTACCTTCCCCATCTCATGAACACGCAATCAACCAAGGGAGTCTGCATCTCTTCTCTCAGTTCAGTGCAAGGAACTGACCTTGAGATTCTTGCCATGAGACGGGACTCCAAGTACCCTCTGAAAGCAGGCATCGCTGTGAAGCATCCAGAGCAAAAATGAGCAGCCTTGGAACTTTCTGACAGAAGAGCAGGGTTGTAGTCAATTGGCAAGTTGGACCTGGAGCCGGGTGCTCGGCATGGGGTGCACATCAGATTGGGTGCGCCCTTCTCTATCGCCCATCTCCAGAAAGTAGCATAGAGTAGGGCTGAAATGCTGACGTGGGAGTCCTCCTATGCAGGATGGTGGGTGTCTTCTTGCTGTGTGGGTGTCACCAGGCTGAAATGGTGGCTAAGGGGAACGTGTCTGCTGCCAGGGGCCCCTGGACACCAGACTCAGCAGTCAGGAGCCTGAGGCTGCAAAGGAAAACTGCTTTAGACGTGCTTCTCCTTGAGAGCGGTGCACAGCCAGTGAGAACAACATGGTAGTAACGGACTTGACCTCTCTCCAGCCCTTACCAGCCTTCCTCAGCCTCGCCAGTTAAGTGGGCTTAAACTGTGCTAAGAGAATAAATGGACCAACAATATTTGGGAAGTATGGAGAACATTGCCAAGCCGTTGATATAGACTGGTTCTCATTTTATGGTTATTATTAGAGGTGGTGGGCTGAAGCGCTGCCTCCCCCTGCCCCCCAGCCCCCCTACCACCACCACCACCCCCACATACACTCTGTTTCTGTCATCAGGTGACCAGACCTTGTAGCTACAGCAAAAAATCCCACTTTGACTTTGAGGAGGAGGATGTAGACAAACTTGAAATCAGGTAAGCAGATCAGTTATCTCCTACTGTCCATTTTAGTTTGAAACTATCTTACTATGTGTTTGTCTTTTTTTTAATGGGGTGGTGGTGTAGAAATGAACTTCAAATTCTTTCATGATGTTTAGCACTAGGATTATTAGCCACTGTCATGGAATTGAAGAGTCTTTTGTCATAAAATTCCCAGAGAGTTGGGTAATGGACCTAAAAGATATTTGTGTGCCAAGTGGGCATAGTTGGTTTACAGCCCATTTTGCAAGGCTTGCTCATGGCTGAAGGCCCAAAGGCTCCTGTGACTCGGTGTCTGTGAGCTTCCTTCCTCCGAAAATGTCCTGAGTGTCCGGGGCCGGATAGGGCCGCTCAGAACTGTGGTCGGCATCTGATTTCCAGATCCTTGGCTTTCCTTGTCTGCACTTGTCACCCTGCAAGATCAGAATGCACATTGTTGGCTAGCATCGAGGCATGCCCTCCTGGAACACTGGGCTCTTAGAGCTCGCTCCCTGGGATCTGATCGGCAGCAGCAACTCCAAAGGTGAGGCAGGAAGCTCAGGGTCAGTGAGTTTATGCGCACGGGGAGACAGCTCGGAAAGGGAAAGGGAGAATGGTTTCAGTTCTTAGGGATGTCAAGAACATAGTCCGTGCCCATGAGTTATGCATGGGAAATGGTTAAATTGGTATATGCTCTGCTATGGTTATGCTCAACAGCACCCCCCCCCCAAGTTATTATTTTATACTAGCATCAGTTGTAGAAAATATTCAAGGGCTTTCTTTACCCGCTTTGGCTTCCAGGTCTCAGGTTTAAGCAGCCCTGCCTGAGTTCTGCTAGCCTTTCCCCTGGACAGAGCAGAGGCAGGTCCCCTGTCCCTCATTGGGCAGGACATACTTGCTGGTAGACTCACCAAGGCTCTGCCATGCCCCAGGCTAGACCAGTCTCCTTCTCTGATGAGCTCCTGCTCTCCTGGGAAATGCTCAACTCCACTTCTTGTAAAATGATCCTATAGGTGGATACTATATTTATCTTCCCTTGTTCTCTTCAAGCGTGTTGTCATAGAAACCGAGTCTTTGTTAAACACTCACCTAGGTCTGGGGGGCTCCCATCATCTTCCTTTCTTGGCATCCTAATACTTTCCATAGGAAATGAAGGGGAATAAGGCATCATGCACGGTTTATTTAGCTAACGTATCTGGATGCGGAAACAAAGGGGATGTGTTCCCATGCCCCAAACTCCGGGGGAAAAACACAAGCCAATGTGAGTCAGGGCTTCCAGAAAGCCTCTCCAACCCCATGTACTTAGAGTCTTTGCAAAGGGGACCTTTTGGGAATGTCCACTTGTGGTCCAAGTTAGCATCCCTTCTTCATAAAAGTCAGCTGGGTTCTCATTTGTTTGGACTTTTGATGGTAGCTTCTGTTTCCTTTTGTTTTTTCTCCCTGAAAGGACTTCCTATACAAATGTCTCTGCTTCATCCCTCCTCCTTACTATGAAGAGACACACAGCCACTCTTTTGAAACTTCCCAGACTGGGCAAAACTGAGGCGGTGGGGTTAAAGGCATGGACACGATGGCTCCTGCCCTCTCTTTCCTGATCGCCCCTATCCTCTCGACTGGGGCTGGATCCTCTCTGTAGTCTGCATTTACTTTTAGAGACTGGTTGCCCGTAGGCAGTTTTAGGAAACATAGATGGCTGTGATATTGCTGTGGTCATGCACAGGGCCACGCATAACACCCTCGTGTCCCTCAACTGGCGGGTGCTGATATCCTGACAAGGTGCTGTGCAGCTGCAGCACTGCCCTTAGGCGCTTAAGGTGCAGTGACAGGTACAGGAAACAAATACCCAACCATGGTATGTGGCTTCTGAGAGTCGTGAGGGGTAAGATGATCGCAGTGAGGCCTGGCATGAGATGTGCTCATTTTCACAAAGCCTATGCAGCCTGGTTCCACTCGAAACTGGGGGGAGTGGCTGTGGGTTGGCTTCGGCTTCACGGCCACGGGTTTGGTTTTTATTTGAGAACCTGATGAGGTCTCCCAAGTGTCATCCGGGTGAAAATCGCTTTCCTTTTCGGGTTAGGCTATCCCCCAGGCACGTGAGGTCTGATTAGAAAGACCACAGCCGTACGGTTAGGGAAGAGATTGCTCTTCTTCCTTAAATGAAGTCGTCCCAGTTCTCAAGGCCTCTTGAGCAATCGCAGAGACGTGTGCAGAAGCTTCTGGACCAGGCGGGGCTGCACCGTGTTGGTGATCGTGAAGGCGATCATACTGAATGTTCTCTGAGCACACCCCCCCTCCCCACGCCCAGGCACTTCCTCTTCCCACCGCATGCGAGACAGAGGGGTTTGTGTCCCTATCTTTCTGTCTTGGCATCCAGTCCTACGGAAGTGCCCGCGTCTCCTCCACAGACACCACTTCGTGGGAGGCCAGCCTTACATGTATTTAGTTCACTTTACATCTTCATTTCCAGCGCTTCTGGACACTGAGTGAGAGGCAAACCCCCTCGAAATGGTGAACTCTGAAAGGGTCCTCATTGGAGGGTTCTGTACAAAACGACAGGGCCTTCTTTCAAACGTGCCTGTAGACGCCACGCGGTGTCCTCTTTTCTTCTTAACACAGAGAAGCATTTTTTTTACTTTGTTTTTTTTTTTTAATTTTTTGGAGGGTGTTTGTTTTCATTGGACTTTAAATTTAAAAATGAAGTTTGAAGGTTTGGGGATTTAAATTTATATACATATATATATTGTCTTTCATTAAAAATGTATTTCATTAACATACAATTCACATGCCCTACAACTCAATGGTTTAAGCATGTTAAAAAAGGATTTGTAGTCATCAGGACAGTCAATTTTAGAACAATTTTTCTTTCACACATTCATTATTATTGGCTCCTCACTTCCTTGCCCTGCCCCCTGCCATAGCCCTAAGATTCGAGTGATCCAGTTACTGTCTCTATAAATTTACCTATCCTGGATTTCATATAAAGAAAAGCACACAAACAAACTCAACAAGAGTAACAAAATAAAACAGAGAAAAACTTCCATCCACAAGAAGGCAGAAAATAATAGAAAGTAGAACAATTTCTAAGTGGCTCAGAAGGGAGAACAAATAATAAGGTGTTACCTTTGACTTTAGTGACACCTGTCTCAATCCACTTCCCAGCACTCTGTCTGATAGCCAGACTGCCCACATCCCCGGTCTGTGCTTAGAGGACTCACTGGACGCTCCATCCAAGCAGACCCTGTGCGTGGGTGTTGGCCTTTCCCTGCCACTCATGGCTTCAAAGCATATTTTTTAAAAGATTTAAAATGTTTCTCTGACTTAGGTTAAAAAAAAGGGAGGGGGGTCTGACACATAGTTTGTCACATTGCTGATCCGCATGAGCACAGTAAGATTTCTGTTTGTTTATCCTACAAATAGCCTACTGTGGGATACTGATGCCTATTGGCCAACCTCCAATGGCACCTGCACGGTCTTCCAAGTGCTCATGTGGCCACCGGGCATTTCTGTCATTTTCCTCTCTTCCTTCCCTTTGACCGCCCAAGGGTGGATACACACGCTTCCATTGGATTCTTGGCCCCGGTAGTGAAAGTCTGGTTAAGTCGCCCCTGTCCCATGCGGAACATGCTAACTTGTTAGCATAGCTGACTAACATCACCCAACCTCCTGGGCTGATGGAACCCCTGGGTGAGTGGTACCTGAGGGGGGTGGGGACAAGACCAGCTAATGGCACCCCACCCTCAGGTTAGCAGCCTGTTTAGGAAGATGGGTGGGGACACTTCACTGGGCCGGTGACATAAATAGCGCTGTGGTTTGGCAGCTAGCTGTTACCAGCTACTCTCTTTCCCTTGCCTCTGTGGAGAGCGTGTCAGCCTTTTTCACGTAGGCTTCGAGCCTCTGGTACGTGCTCAGTGGATGCTCAGGTTCTAAGTTCAGGCGGAGAAGGAGGGAGCGTTCAGGTGCATGCCACCCCCCGCCCCCACCCCTTCCCCATCATTGCCCTTTCCTGTGATGGAAAGTAGCGTGCCAGTCCGAATGCTCTCCTGTCTTTTCCATTGCACCGTTCTCTCCTGACGGCTTATCCACTGAGAAGTCCTTAGACTGAGGAGAATCCGACGGGATTCCTTCACGCACGCAGCTTTCCGTACGCCCTTGCAGATTAAACCAGGCCCGGTGCTTGGGCTAGGGAGCTCAAGGCGCAGCTCCACCAAGCTCCTGCTTGTAATGTGAACACCAGAACCTGGAGGATTCTGGTTCCCACAACCCCTGCTTAGGGCCATGGAGGTGCAGACGCCGCTGGAGTGGAGATGTATCTGACACTGTTCATGTGCCCAACAGCGAGCCTCCTGTGTCAGAGTGGGAGGAGGAGGCAGAGCCCCGAGGACCATCCTGCCCCCCACTTGCCAGACAGCTGCGCTCAGCTTCCACACACCCGCCAGCCCTCCGTTAGCAACCTTGGGGGGGGATGCACGTCTGTATTCCACAATCATGCTTTAAGCCTGCATTTCGGGCCTCCTCCGTTGATCCCCCTCTTCATTAAGACTGGCTTTGGTAGACCAGAAGGCTCCCTTGTGTTCCAGGTACCACTCGAGGGAAAAGGGATGCTGCCGTAGCAGGGGTGGCGGGTGGGGGGACTCAGTACTTCAGTGTTTAGTCATCTCCATCCCACCCTACTTTTGTCCCACTTCCTGCCATAAGGGAAACCCGTACTGTTGGCTGTTGCTTTTCAGAGTGGACCTCTGGAACGCCAGCAACTTGAAGTTCGGAGATGAGTTTCTGGGAGAGCTGAGGATCCCCCTGAAAGTCCTACGACAGTCCAGTTCTTATGAAGCATGGTAAGGTCACTGCGTACTCGGGTGAGGAGCGCCCACGGGGGGCCTCCCCTCTAGAGGGCTGAGCTGAGGGATCAAAAGAAAGTGGAGAGGGGCCTCCAAAGCGGAGCGGTGCAACCCCTTCCGCTTCGCACGGAGAGTCCATCTGCTCTTGATGCGCAGCACATGGTTCTAACAGCTCTAGCTTGGGGATCCAGGCCCTTTTCCGCAGCAGCGGGGGACAAGGTAGACGAGTAGCTAGGCACACTCAAACCCGACCTCACGCCGTGGAGTCTGTGCTGGCTCATAAGGCAGGGTAGAACTGGGCCTGTGGGCTTCTGAAACGACAGTTCTTTAGGGGAGTAGAAAGCCTCACCTTGCTCCCTCAGAGTGGCTGGTGGTTTCCAACTGCTGACCTTGCAGTTAGCAGCCCAACCCATAACCCACGGTGCCTCTCAGGATCCTGAGAAGCTGAACACAAGGCAAAGAGGAAAGACAGGGCAACGGGCAGACCTGGCAATGTTTGAAGCCGCATTTGGGGGCGGGGAGCGGGTAGGGAAAACAGGGCACAAGCCACTGGCCCAACAGAACGTCTGTATATCCAAAGACTGATGCTCTTGGCTCTGCATCGCCCACTTCAGCAAATTCTTCAGAAGGTGACATCTCACTCTCTGAGGAAGGTCTGACAGGGGGCTGATGTCTCAGGAGACTCTCCACAGACGGCCACGCATCTAAAATGTGGGGGTGTCTCAACTGGGCCTCGAAACTCCCTCACGCATCGCAGGCGGCTAACATTGTATTATGTCCTTGCACATTTCATTCTTTCTCCCTTGTGGGGCCTTTGTCCTCGGGCATCAGGGGGGTTGTGCGCTTCTGGGTCAGTTCGTCCATCAAGTTGCAGTACAGTGCACAGCATCAGTGGGCAGTTTTAGGCATTTTGACCCTGGCCCCTGGTCCTTTTCGTCTCCCTGGATACCCAGTGCGGTCCAAGAATGCCTTGCTGCAGTCCGCCTCAGCCACTGAGCACATGGAAACAGTCACATGCTCTGTACGGCTTTCCACCTTGTGCGTGCAGGCAGCGTCAGAGCTCAGTGGGAAGTCAGGAGTTTTGGGTACCTTCTAATTCCATGGTCAGAACCCAGGATATGTTGTTTGCTTGAAAGCCTCACCAAATACCCCAGGCTGGTTACGTGCTTCAGAGGCCAGAACTATTACGTAACGTCTTAACCTGCACAGTACGGGTCCTGAACAAGAGGACAGAAAGAGAGAGGGGAGACTTGCAGTCAGAAAACTTCCATACAAGTGACCACGCAGGCCGCACAGGGTCCAGCGGGGCCCACCCCAACGCTCTCACTCCTCTTTCTAGCGTACACCTTTATGAAAACCATCACAGTGTGCTCTGCTTAAGGCTAGCCCATTGTCAAAGGTAAGGAGCCCTGGTGGTGAAGTGAAGGCATTGGACTATGAACCACAAGGTCAGCAGTTCGAAACCAGCTGCTCTGTGGGAGAAATAGGGGACAGTCTACTGTAAAGATTTACAGTCTTGCCAACCCACGGGGACAGTTCTATTCTGTCCTATTAGTTGCTTTGAGTTGGAATAATCGACTTGATGGCAGTGTGCTTGGTTCCTTGTCAGGTGTCAGTCTTCACGGGTAAATAAATGATTGAACTGTAAAGTCAACCCCAACTCCTGACGTGCACTTTCAGGCTGACTCTTGCACCATCCACTGCCTCCTGCAGCTCCTGTCTGCTTCCCCTTCCCCTATGCCTCCTCATTCCTGCCACCCTTTCCTGCCTTTGTCCCTTCACCTCTCCAGTGGGGCCTCTTTTTAAGCAGCTTCAGCAGTAAGCCTCCTTTAGTGAGACACAGCCATCCTCCCAGGCTGTCCAAAGGCCCTACCCCCCACCACAGACCCTGCAGAATCACCCTCGTGTCTCCACCTGTCACCTGCTTCGGACCCCGACGCACCAAGAGCTGGGTGTGGAGCTGAGCAGGGTGCTGGGCTTGAGTGTGATGAGAACCAGCCCTTCAAGGGTGCTGTTGGCTCCCACTGACGTGCTCCTCTATGTCCTCCTTCCCAGGTATTTCCTTCAGCCCCGGGATAACGGCAGTAAGAGCCTGAAGCCAGGTGACCTGGGGTCCTTGAGGTTGAACGTGGTGTACACAGAAGACCACGTTTTCTCATCAGACTACTACAGCCCTCTCCGGGACCTCCTGCTGAAGTCCTCGGACGTGGAGGTAACTCGCCTGTGGCCCCTTTTTGGTTTACCCACCGATGACCTTTGTCAAATTGAGCATAAACATTTCTCAGATGAGGGACGGGTGGGGAGGACAGGCCTCCCCACCTCAGCTGCTTCCTCTCCTTATTTTGGTGAGCTTCAGCAGCGAGTGGCCCCAGGGCACCTCCAGCTTGTTTTTGTGCCCTGCCTGCCACCAGCAGATCCTTATCTCCTTCTTGCTGTCTGCAAGGGGGGACACACCCAGCCCCTCTGCTGTTAGAACCGTTGTGGGAACCGCAGGCAGGGTGTACAACTTCCTAATTCTTGCCTTTGACTTTCATCCATATATGGCTTTGGTTTCCTTTGCTCTCAGACCCCTGTTCTGGGTGCATTGAGCGGCTTGTGGGGAGACGAGGGAGAACGTGTAGGGCTCTGTTCTGAGGTGATCCTGCGAGGGGACGCAAGGCATTTGTAAATTAGAGGCCTTCCTGCGATTGCCCCCCTGTGACTTATATTTTTCTGCCTCAGCCAGAAGCTGCATTTACCATCATGGCTTGAAGAGATCAGGTAACAAGAGAAAGGAGAAAAGGCAGAGACACAATTCACCCTTCTTTCTGGAGCAACCTTGTGTCACACACACACACACACACTCAGGCAGGCATATTAATGATTAATGGGAGAATGGTTTCTCTGGAGGGCTTGGGTTTTAGATCACTGCCCCCTAGTGATTGAAATTACCACATAGCATGAATATCACATGGGAGTAAAATTGTGCGGGGGCGGGGGATCGTTCAAAGTCAGTTGCAGCAGTACGTCCACAGGGAGCCGGCAGATCTCCAAGCTGGATTCACAAGAGCCCTTGTCAACGTCAGGTGGATCTTGGTGGAAAGCAGAGGATACCAGAAAGATTGTGTGTTACTGACTACACAAAAGCATCCGACTGTGTGGCTTCTAGCAAATTATGGATAGCATTGCAAAGAACGGGAATTCCAGAGCTCTTAATTGCACACGTGTTAAGCCTAGATCGAGACCGAGAGCAGTTGTTAGGGCACAGCGGAGCGAAGGAACACTTCATGGTTTACCATCAGGAAAGGTATCGCCGATCCAGCCTTTCACCATCCTTAGTCAATGTGAACGCTGAGCGAAAAACCCCGAGAAACGGGGATATGCGAAGAAGAACATGCTAACCAGGATTGGAGAAGGCTCCTTAACAACCTGTAATATTCAGATACAAAACCTTGCCTTCTAACAGTGAGGAGAACATGAAGCACTTACTGATGAGGATCCAGCACTTAGACTTTTAGCAGGGCTTACATCTCAAAGTAGAAGAAACAGCCCTCAACAGGACCAGTCAGTAACGTGACAAATGACACAATATCGAAGTGGTCAAAGATTTCGGTTTACAGTCAATGCCCAGGGAATCGGCAGTCAAGAAATTAGATGGCCTCTTCATTGGCAAAACCGAAAACCCAAACTCACTACCCTGAAGTCGATGCTGACTCATCGTGACCCCACAGGACAGGGTCGAATGCCGCTGTGAGTTTCTGAGACTGTAACTCTTTCCTTGAGCAGCTTGTGGTTTTGAACTGCCAGCCTTAGGGCTCACAGCCCCTTGTGTAACCACTAGGCCACCAGAGCGCCTTCCAAATTGGCAATCTGCTGTAAGATACCTCATTCAAGTATGAAAGAGCAAAGATGCCACTCTGAGGCCCAGGTGCGCTTGACCCGAGCCATGGTATTTTCAATCGCGGCATCTAGATGGGAAGCTAGACCAAGGAGACCGGAGAAAACAGGCACATCTGAATTATACTGTTGATGGGAGAATATCGACTATACCAGGGACTGCCAGGAGGACATACAAGTCTGTTTGGGAAGAAGTGCTTCGTAGAAGTGAGGTTGGTGGCCCCTTGGACAGGTCATCAGGAAGGACCAGCCCCTGAAGAAAGACCCCACGTAGAAAGACCAAGAGAGTCGGCAGAAAGAGCACGGTCCTCAATGAGACCGGTTGACACGCAACCGTGGGCTCATACAAAGTAAGGATTGGAGGACGTCATGCATGTTTCATGCATTCGGTTGTACTAGGGTCACCAGGAGTCACAACTCACTTGGCAGCAGCTCGCCACAGTGACCGGAAAAGACTGACACCACGGGCGAGGAAATGGAAATGCCCTGTATCACGCCACGGCATGGGCGTTGGAAGCCTGCCCCCCAGGCCCTTGGGTCTGAGGCTCACTCAGTTGTTCCAGCACGTCTCTCTGAACGTTCATGCTGTCTCTCTCTTTGCTCAGCCTGTGTCTGCGTCTGCGGCCCATATTTTGGGTGAAGTTTGTCGAGAAAAGCAGGAGGCTGCGATTCCTCTGGTGCGACTCTTCCTGCACTACGGCAAGATCGTGCCTTTCATCAGCGCCATCGCAAATGCGGAGGTGGAGAGGACGCAGTGAGTACCCAGGGCCCCCCTCCCTTCCCCACCGCACCCTCCCTCCCTTGTCCCTTTCTTTTCCTGCCTTCCCACCTCGGGTCTCTGCAGGCACATCTAAACATGTGTGGGGACCTTTAAGGTTCCTTTGGGGTCCTTGGGAAGTGCAAACACTGGTGTGCTCGACAATTAATCGCAAGGTTGGTGGTTCGGCCCATCTGGAAGTAACTCGGAAGAAAGGCCTGGAGATTGGTTTGTGCAGCATCAGCCTTTGAAAACCCTAAGGAGCATGGTTCCAGTCTGACAGACAGGAGGTCATATCGTACGCTGGGAGCCACCTGACAGTAATGGGTTTTCTTGGATTAAAGTTACTCTCCCCCATAAGTGAGAACACAGACAGTAAAGGATTCGAGTAATTGAATGGCGGTACGGGTCACCCTCAAAAACCACTTTGAAGTACAGGGTGTTAAAGAAATATAGGAATAAGCAGGCTCTCTAAGTTAATGATCTAAATTCTGATTTCTCTTTCAGAGGCAGGCCTACTGGTTTTTAGTTTTGTTTGGGGTTTTTTTTGGTTGCTGTTTAAAAAACAACAAAAACACTTCACCCTTTCTTTAGGGTATCTCGAAGTAAGGATGCAGAGCCTTGGGGTGAATGTGGGCACCGTGAAAGCTCATGGTACCTTGTGACCTTGCACAGTCGGTGTGAGGCCCCCTCGGGTTACATTTTAAGAGCTCTATATGAGTCAGCAGGAGCCCTCCTGGCATAGTGGTTACGCGTTGGGCAGCTAACTGAAAGGTCAGGCGTTTGCAACCCCCAGCCAGCTCCATGGGGCAAAGACAAGGCTTTCTACCCCTGTGAAGAGTTACTGTTTCAGAAACCCACAGGGCCAGTTCTGCCCGGTTCTGTAGGGTTGCTATGAGTCAGCATCAGCTCGATGGCAGTGAATATGGTGTTTTAGTTTATATCAATGGAGTCAT